TGATAAAATAAATATTACACCTGATTTTTGAATTTGGAAACTTAAATACATGGTTTTGGGTAATTTTCTCTTGAAATTATCTGCAAAAGCCCATTATTGCCCAAAAGAGAAAAGCCCAAGGCCCAACAGTGAAAGCCCGACAAGAGTATAGAAGGACACAAATGCCAATTTGGGAAAAGTTCTGACTACTATCGGTAATTTACCGAAGTCGCCAATCTTCTTCTTCTGTCAAACCCTCGGCCTATTTATGTTCGCCGCCTGCACATTACTTCTCCCCTTCTCTGTCGCCCACTTGTGAACCCTCTCTCTTGTACCAATTCTTCACCGTTTTCGGAGCGACCCGACCCTAGTGTTAAAACTCTTCATCATGTTGGTCTACCAAGATTTGCTCACAGGTAATTATTTTATGGTGTTTGTTTTCTCTATTTTTTAAAAACTTATATGTGCTGCAGATCTGCCTGTGGATTTATGTTTGTTATGAATTGGGCGTGGGATGATTGTAACTCTTGAATTATTCAGTGTCAATTAGTTGATTAGGTGATCTAGATCTAATGTTAGCGGGCAATTTTTAAGGGATTTTGTTATAAAGATCAATTTTTTTTAAAAAACTTTTTATAGGTATTTAGGTTATAGAATAAAGTATTTATTGGTCTTTAAGGTGTATATTGAGGCTTTAAGGCTGATATTTTTTTTCTTGGATTACCCAGTTTTTGTTATTTCTGGTTTCTTGTAATTGCTGATTATTTCGCGGAGTAATGTTATAGATTGAAACATTTGTTGTTAGATATTCTGTTCTGTTTTTCTGATTTGTATAATGGATTTCTGCTCGAATTATTGAATTTGCTATTATTATTTTCTACATGAGTTTTGTGCCACAAAGATCAAATCGTTCGCTTGTTTGTAGTATTTTCTCTTTATTGATTTAAAATCATCAGGTAGTTTCAAATTACATTTTTCTTAAAGGATACAAGTTTCTTGAATGGTTTAATTATTAACAATAAAAGTCTTTTGTTGCCAGTTTAGTGGATTATTTCTGTATCAAACTTACCATTTATTTATAAAAACCTTATTTATGAAGTGAAGCAAGATGATCTATGAAAGGCTATTTGTAAAAGGATCGTGTTATTTTACACTATCTGATCATATGCTCTTGTTGTTTTCGAATTGTGATTGTTAAGATGACTTCGTATCTTTTGGATACCTATGGTAAATTTTGATGAATATTCGGTGATAGTACATGTTGAAATAGTTACAGATTAGAATTGTTATTCTGACCAGTAAATGTTTTCACCATTGCTAACATTTTTATTAACATCTTTTAGGTGATGAGCTTCTCTCTGACTCATTTCCATACAAGGAAATCGAAAATGGAGCTCTTTGGGAGGTTGAGGGAAAGGTAAAGATCCTTTTTGTATTTCATTAGATGTAGATATTCAGTTCAGTAATATTTTTATTGACTTGGTATACATTTTTTTCCTGGTGGTTCTCAGTGGGTTGTCCAAGGAGCAGTTGATGTAGACATTGGTGCCAACCCTTCTGCTGAAGGTGCTGATGAGGATGAGGGTGTTGATGATGCTGCTGCCAAGGTGGTGGACATTGTCGACACATTCAGGCTCCAGGTTAGTTTTATGAAGATTATGTATTATTTGTCTGAATCCTATGTTCTGTATTTAATGCCGTTAACTTGGATAAAATACAGGAGCAACCCCCTTTTGACAAGAAGCAATTTGTTGCATACATCAAGAAGTACATCAAGCTGTTGACACCCAAGCTCGATGAGGAGAAGCAACAGGAGTTCAAGAAGAGCATTGAAGGGGCGACTAAGTTTCTGCTCTCAAAGCTCAGTGACCTCCAATTGTAAGTTTAACGTAACATTCTTTAATATGGAGAACTGTATATCACTGGAAATTATTGAGTAGAGGAGGACAAAATCTTGGTTAATTATACTGATCACGAGTAGCTTTTGCTTATTGTAGGAGTGCTTCTTGTGTAGGCTTCCTCTGGAAGTAAGCATATAAAGCACTTCAAAATCTAATTTAGGCTTAAGGAGCCGTCCCAAACTTGCCCTGAACGATCACTTA